CATATTATTTTTCACGCGATATTACTGTTATAATTATTTATTTTATTATTTATTTATTTATTATTATCATTAATGTGTAAATATTTAGGTATAACATTATTATTACATATAATATTCAATTGTGTAACGACGCATATTGTAAAAAATATCTAACATTATTATCAGAACATAATATTATTATTTATTAATTTATTATTGACGGTGTCAAGTTCAATTTTTTTATTATTGTCCAAAATTATTTATCTTTTATATATTATTAGAATTGGGTGAAACGAAAAAATTATGACACATTTCGAATTAACTCGTCTTCGCCGTTTGACGCACGTCACAATAATACCGCGGACTGAATGCAATTGCCATGATTTCGTATTAATTATTATATTTTGTGCCCGTTTCGGGTAAATAATGATATATAGGTAACATATTTTATATGTATAGTAATTAAATAATGTTAATAATATTGTATCAATCGTGTATATCATCTGATTTTAGTGTCCGCTGCGTTATTTGACGTGAATAAATACGAACATTGTCATAATTTTATCAATCATAATGTTATGTTATAGTATAATATAAATATGTATTAATGTATTAATGTGTTTTTAATTTTAAAGAAATATATATAATGTGTTCTAAATACTAATCGATAGGTAGTAGGTACTATATCTGCGTGACAAATGTATTTTTAAAACACTGTTAAAATACTTGGATTAAAGTATTATAATATTGTTTTATTCCAGAAATACAATTCTAATGATCTAGGTGTAGGTACATGCATAATTATAAAAAAAGGTGGGCAAATGGGTGTCGCAAGTGTCACAAGTGGGTAGCCGTAATGGATGGTGTTAAGTTTGAATTCAATGATATAATGTCATTGTATAAGAAAAACGATTCTGAGCGAAGACGGTCAGTCAGCACTCAGCCTATGATATTACTATAACTACTAAGTATATTCAATGATATTATTGTGAATAAAGTAATTTATATATAACCTATTTAAGTGGAACCTTGTTTTAAAGTTTCATCCTTAGATATAAAATTCGAACATTTTATACATTTTTAAATACAAAATAATCAGGTATTAAATTTTAAATTTTGTAAAACTTCAATCTTAAAATTCTTATAAAAAAAAATTTTGCATATATATTTTTAATATTGTTCCACTGTGTTTTGTAAGCCCTGTATTACATTTTTAAGCTTCTTTGTAAAACAAATAATATATTATTGACAAATGTAGAAAAGAAGACCAAAAAAATTGAAAACTGACAATGACTGTAAACAGATCAAAAAGAGTCAAAATATTTTCAAAATTTAGGAAATGAAAATTAAACATTCAGTGAAATTTGCATGTATCTAACAGTTATTCGTTTTTGTATTACAACAAAATAACAAAATCGCTACATGAGAAATCGAGTGAATATAAAATGTTGTAAAAATATGAACTTCCAACACTCATAAAAATTTAATTTGATTTGCTTGTAGACATTTTTTTTTTTGATAAAGGTATACGAACTTATGAGGAATCTTGTATTATATTTACATATCTAAGATTTAAAAATGTTTATGAATTCTTAACTTAAAATAATTTGCTTATTTTCGTGAATTTTCAGTATTTTGTCAAGATTTGGACTTTAAATGTTATAAAAATAAACTGTCACTAAGGATTCTTAATATTTTTCAAATATCATTGTAGGAATATAGTTGGAGCCTTGTATTACAATTTCAGGCATTTTTACTCAAAAAATTAAGTTTTATTCACATTCATAGAAAAAAAAACTAATAAAATTAGAAACTAAAAATGTCAATAAAACAGTTCAAAACAAATAAAAATATTTTGAAAATTCGTGCATAGAAAATGCAAATTTAAACATTCAGTCTAAACAAAATGTATCTACTGTCATTTGTTTTTATGTTACACTAAATACCAAAATCGATTTTGCATAAAAATGTCCGCTTTTCCTTAATTTTTCTTTTGTTTTTCATGGCGCTTTTGAAAATAACAGGGAATTAAATAATACTAAATTTAATCTAAATGTTCTTTGAATCTATTCAATATATAAATTATATATAAAGAAATTTATTTTTAAATAATCGAAGCATTATTTCGACTACTTATAGTTTACACACACACAAAAATAAATTAAAAAATTAAAAAAAACACTCAGCATTGTAAAACAAATTCATTCATCGGTCTGCTCAGAATCAGCAAATGTTGATACTATAGGTAGGACTTAAACTGTCCATATAAACCAAAAATAATGAATAAATATATTTCACAAAACTAATTTGACATCTTCATTAAAATACTTTTCAACTGATCTACTACACAATAAATATTTAGCGGGGTGGGAGAGAGGGTCGAAAGGTGTAATATAATCAAAAAAAAAATTGACTACACAGGAAAAATTCCTAGGTCTTGTAAAATTTTCGGATTTTAAACTATTTGTTTATCTGAAAGAAAAATAATTCCCTTAGGCAGTAATGAACTAGAATTTTTAATTTCAATATTTCATATAATGTAATAATACAAATTGTAAAAAAAAGATTAAAATTGTAAAATTTGAGATTAAAATATTGAAAAATAGAGATCAATACTATTAAACTAGTAAAAATATTACCATATAATTAGTTAAACGTTTTTTTTTTCAAATTTGGTTGATTCTAGAGAACACAATAATTAATCCCGTAGAGCGTATTCTTATGGAAAAAACTACAATGCATCAGGAAAATGAAAGAAAAATAAATAATTGACTAATATGATTTACAATTTGTTATTAAATGTAGATATGTATATTTTTTTTCAATATGATGTTTTTTGGTTTGAAAATTATGATATTTAATAATAATTTTGTATTGTAATATAAACATAGATATCCAATATAATATACAAATGCTATAAACAATATATATATTTTTATATGGATTATTATAACAAATGTTATTTTAATACATCAAATATAGATTATAGACTTTATTAATGTACTAAAAAGCAATCAACAGATAAACAAACAACAATTCAGTAATTTTTTAGTAATATATTCGTTTTGACAGAATTGTTACTCGACAGTGAAGTAAAATATACAGTTTCGTTTTGAAATTTGTTCGGAAATCCTTCCACATAATAATTCACTAAAAGTAAAATTTGTATTCAAAAGCAATCAACAAGTGTGCCATTAACGTTTAAATCGCCATTTAAGTAAATATTATAGCGCAGTTTGAGTCGTAAAAATTAGCTCCTACCTTTTAAAAATATAAGAAACATAAAAGTCGTTCTAAAAACTATTTTCAATTATTTTGAATGTTAAAACTAACAATTTTGAAAATTTTTTTTGACAGAATTGTTATTTGCCGTTGCCGTAAAATATCTAGTTTGGTTTTAAGTTCGCTCGTAAATCCTTGAACCCAATAATTCACTAAAAGTAAAATTTGTATTCAAAAGCAATCAACAAGTGCGCCGCCAACACATAAGTTCGAAAAAAAGCAACATTTTCAGAATTATTTTCAGATCAAAGGTTATTTGCCATTTAAGTAAATATTATAGCGCAGTTTGAGTCGTAAAAATTAGCTCCTTCCTTTTAAAAATATTAGAAACATAAAAGTCGTTCTAAAAACTATTTTCAATTATTTTGAATGTTAAAACTAACAATTTTGCAAATTTTTTTTACAGAATTTTTACTTGAAGTTGCCGTAAAATATCTAGTTTTGTTTTGAAGTTCGCTCGTAAATCCTTGAACCCAATAATTCACTAAAAGTAAAATTTTTATTCAAAAGCAATCAACAAGTGCGGCGCCAACACATAAGTTCGAAAAAAAGTAACATTTTCCGAATTATTTTGCCATCAACGTTTAAATCGCCATTTAAGTAATTATTATAGCTCAGTTTGAGTAGTAAAAGTTAGTTTCTTCCTTTTAAAAATATAAGAAACATAAAAGTCGTTCTAAAAACTATTTTCAATTATTTTGACTGTTAAAACTAACAATTTTGAAAATTTTTTTTGACAGAATTGTTACTCGACGGTGTCGTAAACGATATAGGTTTGTTTGTCATGTAAATCATTCTCCAAATGTAATGTATAGAAGTATGTATATTAATTTTAAAATTTAGCAATTACAGTTTTTAAATATAAATTTTGTTCATAAATAGGTATTATATATTAGGACTACAATATTATGAAGCTTATGCTCTATTAAATTATCTATACAATATTATTTTAAACTTAGAATAGACATTTTTTCTTGACATTTCCCCCCCCCCCACTCTAGCACCATACAAAATTCCTTTGTTTGCCACTGGTGTTATGTAGTAAGCATAATATTATTTATTATTTATTTTATGAATGTGCTACTGAATTATAATATTATTTACTTGTTTATGTTATTTATAGATTTAAAATAAAACGCTGAAACTTTTTTAACGAAACTTGGCCACTATATTTACTCAGATGGCCATCATCTTATTGTCTAGGCTCTCGGCCGATTAGTGTAGACGATACACGCATATTTATGAGCTGAACTTTAAAAAAAAAACAATACAAATATACCATCAATTATATTATAATATTTTTTAGGCTCAAGTACAGTACTACAAAACCGAGTATGCGGTAAAGTTCCGGAAAAGTGAATATTTTGGCCTAAATCTCACTAGCCGTCGCTCGTGAATTGATGTTTCTGTGAGGCTCATCTACACACACTCAACATAGAACCGCGATATAGATGACCGCTTCAAGCAGTTAACCGGTCAAGCGCGCACACAATATACTATTCGAGATCTGTACCGACCGCGAGATCCATTGTCTCGCACCGATCTCCTTACACGTTTCGATTGTCCGAAAGGTCTGTCAAAAACCGCCGGGACACGTGATATCCGAAATTCAGCGGCGGCCTCTACCCTCGACGTATAAATACTGTCACGTTAACGATTAATTGTCCATTCGTCCATAATCGTCCATAATCGTCGATCGTTTAATCGTTATTAATCGTCACCGTCTCCGCCGCATCACGATGTCGCCGTCTTGTTGGTTCAATAATTCTTTGGTCGTCTTTAAGTCATCGTCGTTGTTGTTGTTGTCATTGTCGCTTCAGCTACATCAGCTGTTGGCCACGACGGCGACGCGCTACAACGCCGGCGGTCTAGCAGCCGCGTTACACGACGAGGGAGAGAGGTGCTCGCGGTCGGCCGAACTGTGGCCGTGCCTTACCAAGGGAGGTGCAAAGGTCGTGGCCGCCATGGCAGCGTATCCGGGCGAGATACCGCTGATGGGCCAGTATTTGACCGTGGTGCCAGATGGCCGTGCGAGGACCGCAGGCGACTTTCGTGACGAGGGGCGAGCGGCCGCGAACAAAAACGGCACTTCGTCATCGTCGTCGTGGCCGTCCACGTCGGTGTACTCGAAGATAGCGGAATTCATGGAGAAGAGGTCGCTGCGGTTGTCCGTTCCCATGGACGCCGTCGCGTGGCTGATCGGAGTGACGACGTCGGCGCCCGTCGCCAGGGAAGAGGGCCGGAAGAAGGACAAGGGCGCGGGCGTGCTCATGTTGGGCGGCATGATGATGATCACTACGCTCATGTCCACCGCGTTCGGAGCGCTGGCGCTGATGGCCGCCAAGGGACTGTTGACCAGCATACTTGCCCTGATGCTGTCGGCGATGGCAGTGTCGAAGAAGTCGGGTGGCCACGGCCACGCCAGGACCACGTACGAAGTCATCAACAACCCAGGGCCACATCAGGCGTACCAACATGTGTCCGATTACAAATTGGAAAACGGTGCAGCCGTAGTATCTGACGTGAGTCATTATTACTATTTATTGTCTATATTTATGGTATTCCAATGTAGGTGACTTGAAACTTCGGTGAGACTTGAAACCGTTTCATTTTTTTTTATTAATTATATCAATATATATTAATGAAATTTACAAAATACTTTTATCAAACAGTCGATTTTACTTAATAAGTACAAAAAAAAAAATTATAGGTACTAGTCTATTATAATTATCATTTTATAATCACTTTTAAAAGAGTTCTAGATTTATACAAAGAGCACCAAACTGTAATGTTTGTATATTTTTCATATATTAGACTATTGTTCAAAAGAATATATATTTAATATCAAAAATAAAAAAAAAAAATGCATTTTTAGATTTTAGGTCATTAGTTACATTAAACAAATCTAAATTTAAGGACAATTGAAACAACTACTGAAGAAGTGGGTTTTTTTTTACATTTTTAATTAAGTGTTTCAACTTTTGTTTTAGTAGTTAGGTGCCTACTTCAAATATTATTAGGTAGTTGTTTTAACTTCATTTTAAGTTTTGATATTTTTTAAAACAAATATATTGTTTTAAACTACCATTAAAGTATTTTAATTGACAATGAAGGTTCGTTAAAATAAGAGTTTCAAGTCACCCGAAATTGTATGTTTGCCTTAAAGAACAGTAAATTAAAACTCATACATTTTTGGGCTTAAACTTAAAAATATAAATAGTGGTTATAAAGTGTACTATATAAAGTGGTTCTGGTCCTTACCTACTTAACAACAAATTATTTTTTTGCATAAATCTACGATGTTTTTCATCTCAGAATAAGAAAAATAATGTTAAAATCGTTTCAAGTCACCATAAGTCAGAAAATTATAAATTGACTCTCATTATTTATTATAATATGACGATAAGTCGGAATTCTCCGAATGTCTAGCAACCATAACTGAAATTTTGAATTATTTATAATATTATGATATAATATCACATATTATATTATTATAATAATGCCTGGAGTTAAATGCCCTAAGAACTTTTAAACAAAATGGTCTAAAATATAACAAAAATCGCCCTAAAAATACCTTTTCATCGCAATGTTCTTAAAAAATTATTTTTATGCACTTCTTTATCTTAACTGAATTCTAACAATAATACACAGATATAATAACAAACTTGAGCACTCATAATTAATAAACAGGTTGTTTGAGTCCCGTACTCGTTATTGTAAGGCATCACATCCGACAATCGCTGAAAATAGATAGCGAAAGACGTTATCGCATTCATTTTCAGAACGATTGCCTTATTATAATACGGATGAAAAATACCAAAAACTATTAAGCCAAATAATATGACACTAAAATATTAAAATGTCGTGTGTTACAAACACGTTTATAACCAGTATTATATATATATTGTACAACAGCCTTGTGTTTTTAGGTACATGATATGTTATGTGAAAAATCAACATATTATTAATATTTTTCAAAATATTGATTGATTATTGTCAATTATTGTCGATTTAAATCGGGTATTGAGCTCAATTTGTAAAGTCTATATCCGCATATTTGTGAAATGGATATATGACTATATTTATTACTTCAATCCATAATATATTATGTATTTAACAATTTCCTAATCAATAATATATTATGTTAAAAAAGTGAATGGGGTTTGAACCCACCCTCCCCATTAGTATATGAAAAATCATGACCCAAATACTATAATTCTTAGAAAACGTTTTACACCCCCCACCTCCGTGGGAAATTCCTGAGCAAACCTCTATATGAGACTAAAACAGTTCACTTATCAAATACTTTGAATTATTACGAGATAATAAATTAGCATACATAATATTACTATCTAAAACCATAGATGAATAATCTATATGTACTTACCCCAACTATTAAAATATAATATATATTATAATATAATCTGAAATACAATATGTCAACACTTAACAGACATAAAAAAAGTATATTTATTTCATTTCAAAACACACACATTATTAATATAGGTATAAAAAGAAATAAAATTAGTTAATTATTCTTATTCCTAGATATTCATAATCATAAAAAAAAAAAATTAAATAAATAGAACTGCGGTTCAACAATCATTTATTAAACTGCTATATTTCAAACTTTAACACAAGTGTTTTCATTATTTTGTATTTTTAGATCAATGCAGGTCAATACAATGCAGCTCAAACGGAACCTATTCAATATGGCAACCAGCAATATGATTAAAATTAACAATATTATACCTAATGGTTCAAAGTTCTAGTATAATCGATGGGTTGGACAAAAACTTATATTATGTATATAATTTATTCATTGTCCTAGATATAATATAGGTACTTGTAGAATAAAATATTATCTATTTATTAATTTATTAATTTATAATATTATAAATATTGTCAGTTGTTATTGAAAAATAAAAAGATTTTGGTATAAGCGTTTTTACGTCATTACGACCGTTATGTCGTTACGAGTGGACTTCTTCTTGGACGAGGATTCCGAGGATTTCCAATTTACAGATATCAAAAACTTCGCGATGAACGTGAAAAACAGCGCTTTTCCGAGCGTGACTGTTATCATGTTCACGAACGTGAATATCACGACGAAAGCTGCCATCATGCTGCCGCCAATCAGCATGTTCATAGAAGGGTTTTTGATTTTTTTTTTCTTCTTTTTCTTCTTCTTGTTCCCCCGACCTTTACATCGAATAGCGAAAAAAAAAAATACATTTATCAGACAAAATCTTTATATCGAAACCTAACAATGTCACTTCGTACCTTCCGATAGACCGGTCGCCGACTCCTGTAGCGACGGATCTGGACCTCCGAAATCCATCTCACGTGATCCGGATCGGATCTGCGAGGGCACATCGTCGACAAGGTAACTGACGTCGGTGATGGTGTTGGTGGTGTCGACGGTGGTGGTGACGGTGGTGTTGGTGGTGGTGATTGCAGGACGGGGTTGCTCTTGTGCGCCAGTGAGGGTGGCCTGCAACGACAGAGCCGCGAAAATCGCTAAACCCAACTTCCGCGACTTCATCCCGTCGACGGTGGCGACGGAAACTGTACTGCGTTATCGCGGCCGGACGTGCGTCTACACGACCGGCCGCCGAGTAAGTATCATAGACACGGGTGGGCACTGCGGCCGACTCTCGTCTGCGGTCGGAAATCGTCACGCACATCCGGACATGTGGGTCCTGATCGAAAGTATGGTACGCCTACAATTCTGTACCCACATGACCGTCGCAACGTATACAATATAGAAGTGCAATATAATACGTCCACGTGCACCTATAAATGATAGATATTTATGTCATTTTGCGGCAGTCTATATTATAAACAATATAATAACGTCGCACGGAGTCCGCGTCGAGTCAGATTCTGTTCATTAGTCTCGCGCGACGAGTCGATAGGCCAATTAAATACGGACGACATAAAAAAAAAAACCAAAAACCGAAAACTAATCAAAAATAGAAACGGCACCTGACCGAAGTTATATATACGCGGACAGACGTCTGCGACCGCATCAGTGTGGGTTTCGACTCATCCGAACGACGACCTGAGCGATCGTGTCTCGTTACGATAATATATTTATAATATAACATTATAGATAGTATAAAGTGCCCAAAGACTTTGACGTCCAACATGTCCACCGTACTCAAGTGGTGTCTCGTCGGGATCCTTGTCTTCGTGCGGTTTTCATCCAGCCGTGGTGATTCCGTTCCGGAAAGGTCGTTCGGCGCTTTGAGATGCACTTCCGCCGACGGTCCGGGCACGTGTCTGTTCAAAGGCCTCATCAAAAACGCCCTGCTGTACGCCGCTAGCCGAAGGGAAGACGTCTCGGCCGCCGCTACCGATGATACCAAACTAGCCGACGGCGGAGGTGGCCATCTCCAGCAGCAGTCCAAAGGTATTGAGGAATACCTCATGGAGCAAATCCAGAACATATTCGGACTGTTTTCGTTTGGGTTCGATCTGCCTGCCGAAGTCACCGCCCCGTGGTCGCTGCTCAAGTCGTCGTTTCTAAACGGTGAGTTAATCAAGCCTAAGATTTTCACGATAATCCTACTAATTAATAAAGGAGGTTTTCTGTGTGTACATGCACATCCTTTGCTTCGACTTATCCATGGTAAACTAATGGTATACCAGAATGTTGGTATATAATTATGTTCATATTACACTACGAACCTACCTCGACAATTTTTATGTACACGTTACGCCTTATTGTTTTATAATACTGATAATAGGAGATGATAAAATAATACATGTTTACAACAATATAATTACCAAGAATTTTATTGAAAAACCAATCACAGTAACATAGTTATACCAATGTGATAAGTTTAGGGAACTGCAGATCGTAGCGAACAGACTGGGTAGTCAAATCGTACATGGTAACGTGCATATTGGAAACAACGTTAAAATTTAAAATGTTCATATTCATAGGGGTAACTTAATTGTATTTAGGGGTATTTTTGCTTCCTCGGAAAAAAATACTATATTAAAAAAAACTGTTTGTAGGGAATTGTTTTTTGCTACCTCAAAACTCTAGTGACGCCTGCTCACGTTCATTCTAAATTCGTCAGCCTAAGTCGTACAGGTCGTAAGTTCATAATGGTAAATTTTACTGGAGAAGAAAAAAAACGTTTCAAATATTTTGTCGGGCTAATTCACTAATTTACAAAGGTCGTATCTCCATAATTTATTACAATAAATTATATAATAATATGGAGATTGGAGATACGATTTTTCGTAGATCTTAAAATCATCACTTAGGATTCACGACAATTTCTGACTATCAATTCAATAAGCAATACAGTTATGAAACTGGGGTTAAATGACTTTATCATTTTATCCCACAGTGTCTTTTCATCATTTTGATCATAAATAATTCTAAAATTGAAAAAATTAAATTATAACCTTTACGAATTAGGCTGACGTAGCCACCTATTACGCATATATTATCAAGTTGTTCATAACCATCTGTATCTTTACAATATACGGGTTTAAAAAAATTAAACAATTAAAAAATATAATACGTTGAATTATAATAATTGAATAGTACAGTTGTTTATAATCGGACTTGAGATGTTTTGACCGAAACCTTTGTCGGGTTGCAGGTAGAGGCAAAAAGAACAAGAACCTCGGCCCAATGTTGGCCGCCGGCGTGGCCGTGATGGCCGGCACGCTGCTGCCGCTGGCGTTCGGCGCGCTGTTCATGTTGGCCGGCAAGGCGATCATGACCAGCCTGCTGGCCATCACCATTTCCGGACTGCTGGGCCTGAAGTCGCTGTTCGGCAAACAGGAACAGGGCCACGTCAAGGCGTACTCCGCCCCGGCGGCGCACTTCACCGAGGCGCAGTTCGAACAGGAGCTGGGCGTGTACAAGGGCCAGACCGAGGCCAAGATGCACAGCTCGTCGGCCAACTACTACGCTGGAGAGTCCAACCCTCCGGGCGCGTACTTCAAGGGCGTTCGGCCACCTCAACTTCAGCACGACGACGACGGGCCCGAACAGCCGGCCGAGTATTACTCGTCGGGGGGGCCGATGGCGCCCAAAAAAATTGCCGTGGTCGAGAAAAACGACTAGATGACTGCAAATTGTATCCTCCGCACAGTTAGGCACAATATTTTTGCCTTGTTATATTAATTTATCGACGATTCTATAATTATTGTATTTATTATTATCATTATTGTTGTTGTTGTTGTCGTTGTCTTTGTCGTAGTCGTCATTTATGTCCATCGACACTGTCCGATCGTTATTGTAAGTATTTACTTATATTATATAACACACGAATGATGCTTACGACGATTTGGTCTTTAATTTAGCGTTCAACTTATTAATTTATTGTAACTACTGAAGTGAGTAGTTCGTGGGGAAGGGGGTTGACAATAACAACAATAAGACTATATTGTTAATGTGTACCAATTATAGTGTATAACTTTATATAAGTGATGTAACCTTGTAATCATATTATAATATTATTTATTTGTACAATAAAGAGTATAATATTTTATATATTATTTATTTAAATTATCAGCTTGGAGACGGCTATTGAAGTCTTGAATATTTTTTTGTACTTGGAAAAGTAAACTTTTGTTAAGTCAGTCTCCGCGTTGATGGATAACCCACTCGTCAAGACATTTCCAAGGGACTCCTCTCACCAAGTACGATATAATATGCCGATTGAATGGATTTAATCATGCCTTTGGTACACGTAATAAGGATGGCGGAAATGCACTCGTGAAAAAATCTAGAGACGTCCACATAATAATGATATTATTCGGAGTCACCGGTATACCGAGGTTACTGTAATATTATAGGGATGGAAATCTCTCAATCATCGTTTGGGTTGTGAATGATATAAAAGTTATGTACAAAATAAATTTTTTTGAATTTCGAGGTGGGAGAATTTCTGAAGGAATTTAAAAATTAAGCTAAATAGTTTACGGCATCGTTGAGTAACAATTGTGTAATAAAAAAAATTCCAAAAATGTTAGTTTTAATTATGAAAGGGACTTTAAGTATTTTTTATAACGACGTTTATAGGTATAGGTATGTTACTTAAATTTTAAAGTAGTAGGAGCATATTCAAACGCCTCAAACGTATATAATATTATATACGTTGGTTAAAAAAAAAAAAATTCCAACTTATGACGACACCTATTGGAGGGGTTTTTAAAAGGTAAAACAAAAATGTTTAAAAAAAATTTAGATTTTGGATTATGTATTATCAACACATATTATTTATATGACTCTGAATTTGAAAATGCTGCAACAGCTGCAGCATAGTTATAATAATATAGTTAGTAAATCGAAATTGTAAAATAACTAAATAAAGATGGTTGGATAATAAATTATCTGAATAGTCGTAGGATTAGGCGTATTTTATGTGTAGGTACCTACATTTATTTATTGATAAAAAAATCATGTGCACTATAGTTCTTCAATGGTTTTCATCTCGTGACGTTTATTATACGCTTTGTCTAATCTGTTCGTTATGCGAACGAGTTCGACAAACTATACGCTTAAAGTGTCACTTGTAACCTCCTTCAATTTAAATTTATCAAACAATATCAATACCTTGTACCGTATCAATTGTATCAGATATTCAGATTTGTATTAATTTTTCAACGATCTACAAAAACAATAGTAACAATAATTTGTATTATAATATTTATAATAAAACTATTAAACACTTATAATTTGCCATAATAATTTTAGTGTCATTATTTTTTACAATATCCTCAAAAATAATAATTAACTGTTTTCAGATGATTTCAGATCTACCAATCAGAGTATTGGCGGGTGTGTCAATCATATAAAAATAGTATTATACATTTATACTTCTTATACTATGGACGTTATATTTTATACCATTTCGATTAAAAGTAGGTAGGTAGGTGACTTGTGGTCAAATTATTTATTTTCATTGAATAAATAAGTGAAATGAAACAAGTATTAGTATTATTTTGACATAATATCGTATATTATTTTGCTTTATTATTTAACTTACTTACGAAATAATTTATTCATCATAACATGAAACGTATATTATTTATAATTTATTGGAAGAAATTACATCTGCAGAGCGCAGTTGTAAACGACTAAAAACAAATTTTTACATAATTATTATACGTTATGTATATTATGATATATCAACTTTAAAATATAAGTTGAAATTGGATTTGAATAAGAAAATATTAAAATTTACATAAAACTATTAGTTCTGCTTATGAATTTGAAAGTTGGTCACATCGTACGTGACATCCAAAATATTATTTGAAAAGTTAACTACTGTTTTGACACACATCACATATATTATTTACTATAAGGTATATACATTAAAATACTGTCGATAAACTATATTGATGCGCTGTATGAATCTGAAATCGTACATTATAATATTATCTGAATTCAGTATTGGCTTTAAGGTTATTAATATAATATTTACATATTATGAATTATGATCTATTATATTTGGTACACAATATGTAGTCATAATCATAAAAATAAAGTATATTGATATCACATAATGTATTATATTATTATGTTTATACACTTATTATAATATAATTTATATTTTATTTATATGCATATATTTTTATGGTCAATAATCTTGATTTTCTAAATTAATTACAACAATCAATCAACTGTAGCGATTAAAGACGTATACCTACCTTTACCTTGAAATCTATTATTATCTATATATTATAATAGGTGTGTGTGAGTGTCTTAACGATCCCCCCACCACCATTTAAAGTGTTGCTAATAAGTGACTTTTTCTCATGTAGTAAGCCGTCACTTTCATCCCAATCGCATGAGAGTGATACTTTCATTACAAACTGCATAATTATTTTATTTTATATTAACAAAAAAAAAATGGATCGAACTATCAAGTTCAAATTGAACCGTATTTTCATATTGTATAGGTAATCTTTTTTTTTTTTTTTTTTTATTCAATCTGTTTACATTAAAAAATAATAATTAGTAAGGATAACATAGAAAACGTAAGTATATAGAAACATGAATCACGTGAAGAGGAGATCATTCATTAACAGAACAACAGAAAAAAATTTGTTCTCCTATTTTAGGACCAGTTTATTTATAATCGACGGGGAAATTTGTGGTATTTGGTATGCTTGTTGAAGTTTTGTGGATATATTGTACAGCCACCAAGTTAGTCTCTTATCTAACGTGACACCGAGCTATTAGACGGAATCTTATAAAGAATAATGATGAAAAAAAAACATGGATATTTTTGTTTTAATGTTCGATCAATAAGTATAAATAATTTGGTCTCAATCAAATGCATATTATAATAAACTCCAAAGAAACCCCTTAGTGGCGGTTGACTAAACATTACTTCGTCATTTTTTTTTTTTTTTTTGTGGTCTTCATATGCTCTGAAAATCTATGTTATTATGCTATAGAAATGAACATTTCTTTTACCAATGAGTTTCATGATTAGAATACACACTGTTTTTGATAAATAAATTACTTTATAAAATATATAAATGAATGTATAAAATTTGCAATGATTGAAAAAACTCAACATGGTGATAATCATAATAGTAGGTAGGTATATTGAAATAATATCAAATTCGAAGTTAGTACTTAGTGTGCAATCACTGTGAACTGAAAAGTAACAATTTAATATTTTAAATAAATGTCCTACATATAATATAATAATAAAAATGAACAGTCAAAAAAATTAAAAATAATCATTGATGTGCTTGCTTGTGAGAATAATGTATGGACGAAAACTTTTATTTTTCATTCGAATGTTATATATTTGTATTGTATCTTCTTACACCTATATTGTTTTATGTATAAAACAAAATAGTTTTGTGGTTTTATGGTCGAGGTAATCTCGAAAACTAATGGCTCGATTCCACAAACCTAATATCAATGAATTGTATTGAATAAAATAAAACAAATTGTATCAATGGTATTGATCTCCTATAGTCAACATAGATTATATAAATTCAACCAAGACAAATCCACACCCTAAAACCTAAATGGCAATCATAAGAATACACCTGACCTGGTTTACCGTAACATTTTATAGAAATAGTGTAAATACAAGGTGTTACAGAATGGCTTGACAAATAAAATAACTCTTGTTTTACATATGTAATCATTATTTGAAAATGTTTTTTAACAATAATATAATTTATAAGCGTTTGGGCTTCAAATACAGTTTACAGTGTTTTTTTTTATTTTTTAATACTTAAAATCAAAAATTTTAATTATATCAAATTTGTTTTATAAATATTCAAAATAGCCAATTATTTGTGTAGGTGTCTTATTCTTGGAAAAACGTTGATGGTAAAGACGTTTATTTAAGTCAAGTAGTATATATGTTTAAAGTAGTAAATTTTTAAAATATCCTTCAATATTTTTTCTTGAGTAAATGAATTACTTTTTACAAAATATTCTTTTTGGTAATTTTCAGACATAATGAAAACCTAAATTATTTATCATCCATATATTTTTCATACGTTAAACTAATACTCAACTTTAATTTTCCATTTGTCGGGTCTCTCCGTTACACCTCAATAATATGTATATGATACATATTAGATATGTATTAGGTATATAAGTTGACTATATAGATCATACCGTTTTGTCAAATTGCGTTAAAAATGTATGTAGTTTAATGAAAGGAATGGGTAAAATAGTAAAATTATATAAAAAATCGCATGGATGATAATAATTATGATTTTTTATATTACATTATAGTAAGGTTTTATTATATCACTATATTATGTAGTGTACTATTGTGCATTTATGACACTATAGGTATAACATAGAATAATAATATATTATTTTACAATAAATTTAAAATCTATTAATACAACGTTTTAATAACAATTGCATGTGCTTGCTGAATATTAGAGGAGTTAGTTATTGAAAGCTCCATGGACAGCAAGAAATATGCTATGCAATATGTACATCGTGAAATTCTCCAATAATATGTCATACACTCATGCAAGTTTGCAGAAATCAAGTAGCCAGAACTTAATTTATTTTTCTCTATTTTTGGTATATATAGAATACTTATCACCTGTTATTGACACCATTGTTCAAAAAAAAAAATTCGGGAGGATCTTGTCCCCGGTGCCACTCCTCCTCCCCACGACTGGGTATGGAACTGGGCTGAAGGCGTATCTATGGAGTTCGAAAACATTAGCAATAATAACAATCGCAATCGTTTCATGTCGACTAGCCCCACATGATACAAATGTCGATTTGGATCCTATCCTAACCTAACCTAACTATATATTTTTGTAATTCTATAATATTATATTGCTATGTCATTAGTGTAACGGAGATTGAAAATAATTAAAAGGTCACTGGCATATTTAAAAAAAAAAAAAAATTTGATCTCGAGACACTCTAACACTTGTGGGCTATCACACATAATATTATTATATTGATCTACAGTTCTACTCACTATATTAATATAAAATATTACATATTATTACTGTGGTGTACTCTATATTTTTCCATATCGATAAAATATATGGCGGCCACATTATTATTTTATATTGTATATACTTCACACACAATTTGATAAGTCGGCCGGACGGCCACACTTATTATTATTATGGATCGCACTTATCGTCACACATTATGTAGTAAAATATATGTCACTGAAACATATTATTATGGTTGTATGTTTTGCGGGTTAGGTCGATAACCATGAAATACGTGGTTGTCAAAAACAGTGACCAATGCAAACACATATATACCTAGGTATCAATATAAATAATGATTTTTCGATTTTATTTCCAACGAAAAAATGTATACATAATTATTTTTTAATACTATTGTTTATAAAGGTGTATAATATTATTAAACTTTTTGGAAATCGATTAAAACAATAAAGTTATAATAATTTAGCCAACTACATAACAATGTCATATCGTATAATAAATTATTAATATAATAAATAAACATTAAAAATGCCATAATAAATAATAATATTACATGAATTATATAATAATACGATACGCTGTACAATTATTTCCTTAGCGTTTATATAATTTTACAATAAATATATAATAAATATATTAGGTATAATGTGGATAGGTACGAACAATAAAATAATATTATGGCCCTACCATTTATTATTATAGCCCTTCAGCCGATGGAGTGGGCGTCGGGGGGGTTTCCGCGGGCGGTGGTGGGCCGTAAGCCATGGCGTGGGCCCTCAGCGAACGGCCGTGCGGGCCGTGGCCACCCTGCGACGGCACGTTGATCACCTCGTACGTTGTGCCGCTGTGGCTGCCGCCGCCCGACGCCAGTTTCTTCAGCGCCAGTATGGCGGACAGCATGAGCGCGAGCATGCTGGTCATCAGCGCCTTGCCACTCATCATAGCCAACGCGCCCAGCTTGATCGGCAACAGCGTGCCAGCCACCATCATGGCGCCCATGAGCAGCGGTCCCGCATACTTGTCTTTCTTGCCCCTTGCTGAAACAATGTAAATGGTTTATTATTAATTGTAATAAAAGTGGTCTCAGGGTATCGCCATGAATCCCCCATATCAATGTCATATTATTTCGAATTTCGATAACTCAGAAACCTCGATAACTTGAATTTTTTCTTGCCCCTCGAAGTGTAATTTATTTATATTAATTATTCACCTTGAGATTCAAGTTATAGAGAATCGACTGTATTCATAATATTTTCGTGGTTGTTTCTTGCCCATACACCTCCTGATGGTGGGAACCAACACTTTCATAGTAGCTACTGTATTTCGAGTAGAATAGAGATTTTTTTTCTATAAGGGGGTGAGTAAAAGATATTACACCTACTGGTTCTTATATAAGTATAAAATCTTTAAGATATAGAAATATATAGATTCTAATAATTGGTAGTCTTACGTCGACGTACGACCGTCACGGGTGTTTAAAAATATAATTAAATTACCTTAATAGGTACTGAAATATTTAAAATACCTATGCCAATATATTGTTTATTGACAGTGAAAATGTACTATGTATCGATACATTTATCACTTGACGAATGTATATGAAAGAAAAATTTATAGTTTTGGGTCATAATATCACTAAATTATATTATTCATTATTTATAGTATTTATCAATTTAAAGTATTTTCTATTTTTTTTTCCAAAATGTATAATATTAATTATCTTAACATTTCACACGTATCCATAAAGTTCACCGAAGAAATTGAGCATGGACAGTGTATTTTATACTAATTTATAGGTATATTATTTCTAAAAAAAAAAATAGTAATAATAACAACTAATTAATCCCAAATTTTGATTCTTAATTACCTAACTAAAAGATACTCAAATAAAAACCATCATGCCAATACTTTAGTTTTATGATTTATTAAATAATTGTATTTTATTTAAACTCTTTAGATTAGGTACCTATTAAACACGAATAATTAGAAAGACTGGAGACTTCGTGGAAATTAATCATAGGTAGGTACAAACACCTTATCATGACGTTATTACTCACTACTATAATGACTAGGATCTCAATTCAAAACGGAAAAAAAAACCTTTGACAAATTAATTTAACCGCAAAAATATTCGTTACTGATTTGAGTCTCGGACGCAACAAAAACGTTAATCGCACTGTAGTTTGATAAAGTCGGTATCGATGTATCGAAATCATACATTTAGTACTATAGACTAATAATAAATGATCGGAACAAAATTTTTCGAGTTAATATTTTGAATTATCAATTAAGTATATTCAATCAATAATGAATATATTGCAATATTTATGCGCTAATATTGTAATATAGACTAAAAATTTAAAACATACCTAATATAATAAAAACTGAAAGTTTAAGTTTTGAACTCCCAAAAAGTATTGCCTTGGACTTCCCAAAAAACATTGCATTATTATAATACTGGCCTACTCACTAGTTAAAAATATTGTAAAATTATTTTTCGGTTTAGGTACCTTCGATGAGGGTGCTCTTGAGCGATTCCAACAAGTGGGCGGGCGCCCGGACACTGATGGCGCGGGACTTGACGAACGCCGTTAACGAGTCGACAAGCGCAGATTCACCCCCGACCGGCGCAGAAGTGGCGTCGATGTCAGTGGCCGCCTGCGGTGTTGGTGGTGATGGCGATGGCTGTGGCGCCGGGTCAGATTCACCGGCGGCGTTCTTGACGAGTGTCACGCAACCGGGAACCAGGTCGACGGGATCTGCGGACCGGGCCAGGGCGTCGACGCCGGCGGCCGCGGCGTGCATTAGACAATCGACGGTGTCCGGGGCGGCCGAGCACTGGGACGCCGCCTTGACCACGGCCAACGGGACGACGGCTGCACCGGCGACCTGCAAGCACGTCGTATGCAGCAACAGCAGCGACGCGATCACGACGCACAAACACCCAGACCTGTCCGCTGCGAACATCAACGATGACGACGACATGTTTATTTTTTCGTTTGTTTGTTTGTTTGTTTGCTTGTCCGTTCGTTACTGTCTGTCCGGCTTTCCGTTAACGTATGACTCGTGTCTTTGCGGGACATCCATATTTATTGTGGCGACGACCACGGCCGTTTTTTTTTTTTGTTCTCGACGGCGTGCACCTAATCGTCACTCTGTGTTTGGTATCGTCGGGCCGCGATAATCGCCTGCCGCGTCTCAGCGACCACAAACAGAAATGGAAGAGAGAGAGAGAGAGAGAGAGAGATAGAGAGAGAGAAGCAAACGGATTATTGGCAAAAAAAAGAAGAACGTATCCGACCCTCCGTGACGACCGATGCGAAAGTACAATAATAATCATAATAATAATAATAATAATATGATAGTCCACCTGTCACAGTGCACCGATATCGTAAAATACTATCGTTGCACTTAAATATTGCATCGTCCCGAGTGGCTAAGTCGGCTGCTGGTAATATAGTCGGGTAGCATGAACAATCACAAAACATTACCTAGTCATTAATCAACGAATAAATGGTGATTTATAGTGGTTCCTTAAACATGATTTATTGGCCCACGATTAGTTAATTAAATTAATCAACCCTGAGTATGTAGGTATAATTGTAACTTAGGACTGTGGATTATTGAACTGAGAAAATTTGCAACAAATTCTATAATATCTACATTTTAAATCAACCTTTGTCGAGATTGCGTTTGCATTATAGTGCATTATAGTAAATATTATCACATGTTGTGCGATGAGCATTTTATCGTTATTTTTACTCATTGGCTTTAATATATTATAGTAACTCTGACAATATAACTCAAAACTTCAAATATTCATAATATACCTAAAATTCAACTTTCACCATTAAAAAAACCAACTCTCCTACAGCAACTTAATCATAATCACTAATCGGTCTTGAAAAAACTATAACCAAGAAAAACATAAAAAAAACAATTTGTGCAATGTTAAAACCTTTAAGATGTTAATATTTGCAAGCTCTTGTTTATTGTATTCCAAACATTTGATACGTGTGTTATTTTACCACTTTATTGAATTTATTAACGATTTTAATGATTCAAAATTAATTTATACGTCTGCAGTATACCTATAATGTTATACAAATTTAACCAAACTTGATTATTCTATAGATACGAAACCAACACACAAATGTATTAAACTCAAAGTTCTGCTTTATTCATGGTAAACTATCTGAACTCGCTACAAATATCATATTATGTAGCTGCAAGAAGTTAAGTAAATTTGTATAACACACATTGCACAGTATTGTACGCTGCTTAGAATTATCATTCTGCTTATATCAAGCTATTATCTCTCTGCATAGAATTATCATTCTGCTTATATCAAGCTATTATCTCTCTGCATAGAATTATCATTTAATTCCAATAGAGTTTTTAATAATTTAAAATTCATTATTTACTATATTAAATTTTAACATTTACTATAAACGCACAGTTCTCAGTCTTTTTTTTATCATTATACATTTTTATTATTTATTTGAATTTTTTATACGCAATGTGTATGAAATGTATGTTATTTTCAAAGTTAAGTAGTTTTTAATTCTATATAACCGAGGAACTAAGTATAAAATGTGTTAAATATAATATAAATAAATATAATGTAAGAACGGTACAATATTTCATTAAAATATAATATTAGTATATTAGTATATTTTGGGACACATATTGTAATTGTACCAGATTATATGCACTATGCACAATATATATTATAAAATGTATAAAACACAAAAACAGAATAAGATATCTTACTTTTACATCACTAGGTCCAAGTTTAGGTATTATAGTATTTTCTATTTTTTCAAAGTGCATACAGAAATAAATGGGTTTGGTGTTTAAATTTATTATTTTACCATGTAGTAATAAGTACAATATATAAACGTACCTAATAACTATAGAGGAGGTCTTGATCAGTGATAACTATTATTTGATGAGTACCAATATACCTAAATGTTGAGTGTTGACAAATACATTTTAGTATTTACCTATTATAAGTTATAACAATGGTGTTAATTAAATAACATGATGATACCTGGTTAAATGCTTTAATTAATAATAATATTATTTGGCATAGCCCATTGTGTATACGTAAAACATATTTTATGGTTATTATTTAACGTGGTATAATAACTATATTTGTATTTTTCACAAGTCAAAAATCATGGGATAGTTAGATGGTCAGGGGGTGTGGCAAATACTTCTGAATACGTCGTTGCCCGCCGGAAATATAAAACGTATAATATTTACAATTCAGATGTAGTCAGATGTGTAGCTTGTTGCTCGAGTATCTTGACCTATACAGTATACACATATTTTTAGAAGCTACCATCGTTCAACAACGTCAATGTATTGATTGACAACGAAATTGATTACAGTAGGTTACAACAGTAGTTAAATTTGTTTTGAGTCGGACACCTGTGAAAGCTTACACAATTAGATCACACCGACTTCGTCACATGTGCGGTTAAAACGACGTGTGTTGTTAGATTGGTATGCGAAATTATTATAATAGAAAATTATTGGTTTTCTTTTTCTTTTCTTTTTTCTTCTATAATATGTCAATGAAAATAATATAATTCACACCACTATATGTATATATATATATATATATATTTTATTATTTATAATACTATATGTTATATTGTTTTCGCGTAGAGTAGTGCAGATCGTGATTAACACTATAGGTACAACATTACAAATAAAGTTTTTATTTTGTAGATTAATATTTTTTAAAGGCCAATGATGTCAATTTATTATTTTGTAATCTATCACTTAACCCTTTCAGTCCCAAATTAAGTTCTGATAAAAAAAAAAAATGTTTGCTTTCTAATTAGTTTTATATTATGCCTAACTAAGAAATATTTTTGATTTCAAAATTTTTTGATCACCAAGTCATGAGTTATTGAATAATGCCATTGTAATTGCAATTGGGCATTAACGGTCATAATAGGTTATGCTATCAGGATGGCAATTGGGCGTTAATTAATGAAATACTAAACATTATAAATAAAGTCTGTTCAATTCTTTATTTTTTTATAAATCTTACTTTAGACAAAATGGAATTAAAATAACACGGTAACGACCGTAGACAAACGTCGCACTGACAGAAAATAAAACTATAATCGTTTTAACCGTTTATCAGTGGTGTAAAATGTAAATATTAATTGATAAGAATTTCGACATTACGCCCAATTGCCATTATAATGGCACAATATTTAAGGTACGATAAAATGATAACGATTAAAGTTAATAACTATATCACTTCATAATATGATTACAATATCAGTGTGTACACAAGAAAAAAAATATGGGATTTTTAGAACTTGTTTTTCTTTTGATAATACAATGAAATGTGAAAAAATTAATCAAATATTACAGTAAACATTTTTGTTATCAATAAATTGTCATTATCGTTTTATATAAGGTCCGAATTGTATTGTTATCATTTTTAATGTATTCTACACATGTTTTTACATATATATTCATGTATTACACAACGAAATAATTTAAATTCAATTTTATAACGACTTTTATATCATTATGCCATTCTAATGGCGTTGGGGACTGAAAGGGTTAACACATGAACTTGTACATATTAAAAAACCGGAGAAGTTTCTGCGCTGTATAGGAACTAACGTGTGGCTTGTTATTGACTAGGCCATCTGATAGTCAGGTACTTTGGTCAGGTATAGTAATAGATGTGTTAAATTTGAATTTGATAATAATTCAAAAAACAAATACGAAAAAAGATTCTGAAAGAAAAAAACTGAACTGAAAAGAATATTTATATTTCTATGGATGTTTCACTATAATATATTTATTTTTCTATTGGTAATATGTACTATCAGTAGGTTGAATAAATTTTAGTGAAAAAAATCATTTTGATTATCTAATAATAATAATTATAATATTACTAGCTATTAAATATCGAAGTCAATACCAACGTGCCGTAGAAAAGTGTGAATAGATTCATGGAAACAGCTTAATCTAAATAAAATGTTATAAAATATTATTTTGGTTGGTAAATAATAATATGCAGCATAGTGTAAAAAAGTATACCAAGTAAAAATATATTTTTTTTAATTTCAATCAAATACATGTTCTTCTTAATTTATGTTTAATATCCAATTTATTCAAAATCTGAAATTGATTTGTCTATACAAAATTATTCTACTACTTATTAATTTTCAATATTTTTAAATTGTTATAAGTAGTGTGTTTTAGTTCCTTCTGTGCCCCCGCAAATCCAGGGAATCCAGTTACCCCTAGGATGGTTCACGATAACAATGCATTGATGAGAAGGGGAGCATGGCATATAAGTGATATCATGGGAGGGGTGGGGGTAAGGTCGGGCACGTGCGTGATAGGATTGGCGGGGATGGGAGGGGATGCTCTCGTACGTACGCGACTATAGGCTGGGCGGGGTAACTGGATTCCCTGGATTTGCGGGGGGCACAGAAGGAACTAAAACACACTACTGTTATAAAAACAACTATTTATGTGGATCCTTGTATTACCTACATTTTAAATATTTTTGATCAAGCAAAACAATTTGATATAATAATTGATAAAATGTCTATACAATATATACCTTAACATAAGTCTAGATGTTCTGAAAATAATAGAAAATTATAATTTAAGTAATAGTTAAATTTAGATTTTACATTTAATATTGTTTGAAGAATATTAAAAAAGGATAATTATTACTTATTACACGTTTGAATATCCAATGTCATCAAAAATTTAAATTCAATCGCCCAATAAAAATTACTGTTGCTTTATACCTTATGCTATTAACTTGTATTTTAATTTCTAGTAAAACAATGAATCTATTGTTTTCAAAGGTTTTTAATTCAAAATTGTAGGTATTAGTTATTAAAAACAAAATATTTTAAAGATAGTTGTGTTTGAGTTTTTGACGAGCTTTTTAAAAATTTGAACTTTAAACGCGTACAACATTTTTT